AATTAGATAAACAGAAAGGCTCACTCTACTGTCAAACCAGGAGCACTCATGCCCTCTGGTGGCTAGATGCGGTAGTCACCTTAACTGTTTAGGTGAAAGCATAAAAGACGTTCTCCGGAGCTAAAAGTTATCACAGGGATTCCCTTCTGTCTGGGTTGTCCCATTGATGAGTAGATTACATCTTCATACTTCAGGTGAGAGGCTGAGACCCACATCTTTGAATTAGTTCCAGATTTCTAATCTGTACCTCCAGATTTGTGGTGAAATGCACTTTTAGTGCACATATTATATATAGCCTGTTCCCCAGAGAAAACCCAGACCATCCTCTATACTCCTTCACTTCACTGTTAGTAAAGGAGGGTACCATTAGGATATGCTAAAGAAGGACATAAACAATCAAGGCCCAGAAAAATGAAGATGAAATGTGGACACTCAAAAACAGAAATTCAAACTCTCTTCCTTTGTAAAACTTGGTGAAAAATGTTGACCACTTCCTACTTGCTACAATGAAGGTAAGTTAACATATTCAGACAGCATTCTGATTGCCTGATGTTACAATATCCAACTCTTGCAGAGAGGGTTTTTGTGGAAGTATATGAGAGCATCTGTCAAACCAAAGCAATACATGAACTATTTTTTAGCCAAACAGACATTCAGGTGAGAATTTCCATATCAAAGAGAATTTTACCTTCTATCCATCACTGAGAGGGCATTTTTTTTCCAGTCAACCTGTATTAGCAAATCTAGTGATGAGAAAGGGGCTCATTCTCCCAAAAGCTAGCCTATTGCCTGTTTAGTTGTGTGTGCAGAAACTTCATCCCAGTTCAGCAACGTTAGGTAGCAAGTGAGTGAGGGCAGAAGACACTTCCACTGATAGAGCTGCTCATTTAACAGAAACAGAGCAAATGTTGAGGGAGTAGTAAAGAAAAGGAGACTAAGAGAAGCAAATGGAGGGGGAGAAGAGAAAAAAGGGCAGAGAAGAAGAGGGCACTTGGTCAAAATACATTTAAATACCTGTATGAATGTGCTTGCATGACACCCAAAACCATGTACAATTAAGTACACCAATTTAAAAAAAGGAAAAGGAAAAAAGTTCATTTTATTTTGGCTTTTTAAAATAATTCATTTTGTCATTCTTTCACTTTAAAAAGGGAAACTACATTTTTTCCAGACTTAGAGCTGCGCTACAAGTAATATTTCACACCCATAACCAATATTCTCTTTTGTGGCCAATGAAAAGAAAGTCACACATTTGTAGGACAATAGCCTTCCTTATGACAATTGGAAAGGTCTTCAACACATACACTGAAGCTGGCCAGTGGTGGTGCACACCTTTTTAATCCCAGCACTCGGGAGGCAGAGGCAGGCGGATATCTGTGAGTTCCAGGCCAACCTGGTCTACAGAGCAAGTTCCAGGACAAGCTTCAAAGCTACACAGAGAAACTCTCTCTTCCTCTCTCTCTCTCTCTCTCTCTCTCTCTCTCCCTCCCTCCGTCCTCCCTCTCAAAAAAAAAACACATACATTGAATTAATTTAATACTGAAATGAACATATTTAAAAATAATCATCCATGAACTAATTAAGTAAACTCCTTCAAAAGTATGGGGTCCCACTCCCACTCTTGAGCCCTAGGTCAGGATTTTTCTGTTTCTCAGGAGACTACTCTAATTTGATTCCCTTGCTTCTGGTTTTCAGCATATATGATATGATGTGTGTGTAAGCAGATTTCCTATGTCCTGCCTGCCTGGAATTAGTTGAGCTCTTTGAGCCTATGAATTTGAATTTTCTTCTCCACTTTTCTCTCCCTTCTTGCTATTCTATCTGTTTTATCTGAAAGTGTGGTGGCCCTTCTCACTCTACCCACCTCATCTCTCGTGCTCATTTTCAGAGTTCCCATGGAATTTGTTTCTCCAGGCAGAACTTTGAACTATTATTTGTAGCATGTCTTCTGATTTAATAATTATTTTTTCAGTTGCATTTGGCCTTCTGTTTAGGCCAGCCATTTAATTCTCAAGTTTTATTGTTAGTGGTCTGAGTTGTAAGCCTTCTCTTCAGTTCTTTTTCCAATTTTCTAGAACACTTTTTGTGATTTTGTGTTCCCTGCAGATGTTTCCAGGCTCCTTTTAGAATATAGTAAACCACAGTTCTTGCACTCTATAGAGATGAAGTTACAGACAGTTCTAAGCCTCTGGCTACTAGGAATCGAACTTGAGTCCTCTGCAAGACAGATAAGCGCTTCCAACCACTGAGCCATATCTCCAGCCAGAGTTCATCAGTTCTTGTCTTACTACCAAACTCTACCCTTCACTGTGGTGTGGATGCAGCTAGGAGAACATCCAAGATAGCACTGCTCCCCTGGGCCATGATCCCACATCCAACCTGGATTTTTCAAAAGTATTTTATACATTCACTTTATTTTAGTATGTGTATATGGTGGGTGCACGAGACAGTGTATAAGCGAAGGCCAGAAGACAGTTTGTGGGAGTTAGGGCTCTTTTGCTGCCTTACCTTGTAAATTTCAAGGATCCAATTTAGGTCATCAGGTATGGTGGCAAGTCTCCTTACCCACTGAGCCATCTCTCCAGGCTCACTCAGAGGCCAGACTAATAAATTGGAACAATCTCCCAAACAAATCTATTCCCACTTGCTGGCAGTTGTCTGAATTTCCAGTCAGAACACTGAGCAAAGTTTATGGATATACTAACACATTGAGACAATATTTCATCCACTACACATTATGATAATCTGTATATAATTCCAGCTACATTTGAAGCATTAGTTGGCCTTATGACTCAGAAATTTCAAAGAAACATTACCTCTAAGGAAAGCAGAAGTAGGTTCATTAGGAGTTTAAAGTCCAGAAATAAGTAATTGACATCAACTTTTTGGCAACATCCATCGTCACAGAGATAACTAAGAACAAAATTTCAATTCTAAAAGTCTCCATAACAAATGAGGCCAGCCCAATTAACTGCCTGCAGAAACTGACTCTGTGTTGAAACAACCTCCCAAATAGATCTACTCCCACCTGCTGGCAATTGTCTGAATTTCCAGTGAGCACAGAATGCAAGCTGTTCCTCAAGCACGCAAACCTACGCTGAGGCTTTCTAGCTTGAGTCTCTGCTACTATGTGACAATGGGTCAATTTCTCTTCTTGTTTTGGACCTCAGTTTTCCCATATTACAATCCAGTTAGTTAGCCAAAAAGATATAGATTAGCCCCACCTTTTCGGTGAGAAACAGAATCTCTGAAAGGAAGTCTGGATGATCAGGAATGACGTGACAGACTCACAATAGGAGAACAGGTAGGGCTGAGTCGTTCGAATATGTGATCAGTGGCATGTGAATCTTCATCATTCCTTTTTTCTTTCATGTCCATTTCCTGAAACAGTGGAGAAAGAAGAAAGAGTAAAGAGTGGGCTGGAGAGATGGCTCAGTGGTTAAGAGCACCGCCTGCTCTTCCGAAGGTCCTGAGTTCAATTCCCGGCAACCACATGGTGGCTCACAACCATCTGTAATGAGATCAGTGCCCTCTTCTAGCTTGCAAGCAGAGTACTGAGAATACTGTATGCATAATAAATAAATAAATCTTAAAAAAAATACGAAATATCTTAAAAAAAAAGAAAGAGTAAAGAGTTAAATTTGCTAGTGTACAAGACATTGAGCAAACCATGAGAGGAAAGCTTTCCTGGGCTCAAGCAATCTAAAACTGGCACCGGGTACTGAAGGAGAGCAGAAAGGGTGTGTTTCTACGGGTGTGACTTTGGAGGTGCAGTTCTAGTGAACATGACTGTGCCCCTTGTGTTATCACTTGGCATGGGGCTCTTGTGATGCCTCTTTTTGAACTAGCTCTGTCATGGCTCCAAGCTGAGGTACAGCGGATAGTGCGAAGCCATTCCATAGCCTCTGAGACCCTTCCAGTCCAGGTAGGGGAAACAATAAATACCCCCTAACAAAATCCCAGACTCTTCTATGTGATGGCGTTTTGAACTCAGGTGCATCGGTACCTTCTGGTGCACATCTAAAACACTGACTTTTGCCTTTTTTCCCCTTTAATAGTGTCAGCCTGGATCTAACTTCAACTCTGCATTTCCTGTCTATGTCAATGAATCACACCTTAGGAAGCCTCCAGCTGGTGAATACTTTCAGCTCCCTGAATTTGTTTTCCCTGAGAACCCAAAATCGAAAAGAATAACTCTCTGGGAAATTAGGCTCCAAGAAAACAATTTCCATCCTCTGTGGTCAAAGTTCTGTCCTAAGACCCCTTGGTAAGAGATTCCATCAACCCAGTCAAAGACCAAACACATTGGGTTAAGCACATTGAGTTACTGGAGTGTCAATGATCTGTGAACAACCTCCTGATTCCCCAGAGGTGCAAGTGTTTCAGAGTGCATATCTAGCCGTGACAGTTAATGGCCGCACTTCTTTTGCTGCAAGATACTTACTCTTGGATACAAAATCTTCTAAGAGAAACATATTTCCCTTCTGCAAAGAGGCCTAGAGCCAGAAGCCCCTGAGTCCAGTCTACGCAGTAAGCCCCTCCTTCTCACATGGTTGAACCTGGTGGCTGGTGCTGGTCCGGGGACGACTGCAGAGGCTTGAAGGGGCAGGAAGGGGGGCGAAGGCGTGTGTTTTTGTGTGGCTCCTGGCACCCGCGAGATTGGCTCCGCTGGTGCTGCCGTCGGAGTGGGCGGAGCCAGCAGCGCGCCCGCCCCACTCGGCACCCAGTCTCAGCCCTGAGCGGTAGCAGACGGAGCGCACCTCGCAGCAGCCGGACGCACCCTGTGGACCGCTGCGTCGGGGAGAGCTGCTGCTGAGAGGCTGTTCTTTCCTGCTCTGGGCTCCAGACCCCGCACTCCCTGCTCCCTTCAGGTCTCTCCTTAGGATCGCATCTGCGAAAGGGCTAGCGATCCCGCCCCCTTTGCCCTTTACTGACTCATTCCCACCCTAACCCTGTCCGCTTTTCCAGCTGTCCGCTGCGGCTCCCAGAGCACCGCAGCCATGGGCATCCGAGGCTTGCTGCAAGCTGCCGTGCTCCTGCTGCTCATCAGGACTTGGCTCGCAGACAGCAACGACCCCAGTCCTACCCCGAAATTCCACTTCGAGCCATCCTCCAGCATGCCCGAAGTCATCCTGGATCTCTTCAACTGGTAAGCGGCCCATCCTAGCTGAACAAGGAAGGGACAGGGACAAGCAGGTTTCGGTCTCTTGGACAGAGCGAGCTGGGTGCAGGGAACTCAGATCGGACTTGCCTAGGGGGATGAAGCAGGTATGGGGACAGCCGTGAAATAATACTCATGGCTTCAACCCACCTGTTACTGCTGCACCTTCCCAAGCCGTGAGGCCAGGAGCACCCTCACCCCAGAGTCTACCTGATCGTCCTCAAGGACTGAGGTCCCAGGCACCTTTTCCCAGCTATATTCTTTGCAGCCCATGGGAGTGGGGGTTGTACATGGGTAATTCGCAAAACAGACAAGAAAGACACCTGTTTGAGTAAAGATTTTTAGTCCATTTGCTGAGGCAGTCTCTCTCTCTCTCTCTCTCAAAAACGGCAGATTGAAACGATTAATTCTGTGAAATTAGTAGCTGTAAATGGCATAACCTTCCAGCTTAAGAGGGGTAAGCTTTTGTGCTTACTCCTATGAAAACATTTGAAGATTTCAGTTTTTCTCTGTGTTTGATTTAAAGTTTGTTTAGGTCTGCAAGTATCTGAAGAGGGGATAAACCGTCATCCTTGACATGTAGATCTCTCTCTCTCACACACACTCACACACACACAAAAACGTGTATTTGCTGTGGCTACAGATCTGGAGTGCTAACACATGGGAAATTCTGTGGACAGAAACAGGCGGGAATGTATTTCTTTAATTTGTAAATAATTCATGTGCATACTTTGAAATGTTACAAAATTAAATTTTATGATTGAGGGAAATGAGGAAATAATTTAAGTGGCAAAATAGAAATAAACATGGATTCATAAAGGGGGAGTGGTTAAGCTGGGCAAGGTTCCAGCAGGCAGCCCTGCAGTGCTCTCAACCCAACTGCGTCATTGAACACATATGGGGGTGGGGGGAAGTGAAGGAGAGATGGAGGGACACACACACACACACCAGAGAGACAGACATTGCAGGGACAATGCGTCAAAGATCCAAACAGTCATAGTGATAGTGACGCCTGGGGCCTGTCGTCATTTCAAAGCCCTTTGGGGATTGAAAGTCTAGATGGATTCAATGAGCATCTCAGAGACCTGTGGAAAGGCCAGCTTTATGCAGCTGAGCCGCTTTCACTTCCATGTGCTCACCTAAGAAACATCTAGGCTGAAAGCACATGCGTAGTAAGATGCCTGCTCCCAGGATGGATCTTTTCGAAGGCAGCTCTAAACCCCAGGAATCCGAAATGGCTTAGTTCCATGAGGGTCATAAATCTATGCTACATGAGCAAGACACTTTCTCTCTCCCTACCCCCACCTCTCTGTGTCATATGTCATATGCCAGTTCTCAGGCACAAGAATGACATAAATGGGGGGCGGGGATCGCTCAGACCAGGTAAAGTAGAAAACATGAGCTCAGCTGGGGGTGAGGGGGACACTTGCCAATGGGAACTGACTTCCTGGGGCTATGAGGTAGCCCTGGAAAGAGGATTGTCAGCATCCAGGGGGAACTTCAAGGTATAGTTTCTCAGAGAACTAAAATGGTGCAGTTTTCTGAGGGTCTCATGTGCCCACTTTCCCTCCTCCCCTACGGTGCCATTTTCTCCCACCCACACCTTCTGCGTGGTAACAGGGATCCAGGCCTTGGGCCCCAGCCTCTGGATTAAAGCTGTGAAGGGGGAGGGGAAGGGAAAGAATCTGCGTCACTGCTGCGCTTCTGGCTGACTCACTGTGGAAGGGGAAGAAGGGAGGGGAGAGCACAGACACATATGACTGGACATGTTTGCATATGTACAGGAGCACGGCTGGCTCCTGGGGAGTCAGCCACTGGCAAGTGGGCCACTAGCCAACCAGCATTTACTCAAGGCTTCTCTGTTTCAGCAAAAATTGTGCAAATGAAGCTGTGGTTCATAAGATTTTGGACAGGGTGCTGTCAACATATGATGTCCGACTGAGACCAAATTTTGGAGGTAAGCAAATCCAGACATCAGAGGCTTTTGTGTTAGATACAATAGGGTCAGTTCCACCCTGTAAGCTAAGCAGGCTCTATACCTCTGCCCCCCAGATCCTACCTTCTTGAGTCTGCCAAGCCCTGCAAGGGAGCACCCAGAGACTCCCAACCTCAGGCCTTCTGGAATGTACCTTACATCTATGGACCAGCCTTTCTATGCCAGAGACTCCTTGCCTAAGGTGTTGCCACCCTTAAGTAATTCAGAGAGTTCAGAATTGAGGCCATGGTTTTCTCTGCCTCTGTCCCTAACCCACCTAGGCCTGGGACCCTTCCATAATACCCTGCTTTCCCAATTCTTCAGCTCCTACCAAACTCAGGCCAGCTAGTATACTGTACTACATGTGTTCTTCATAAAACTCAGACTGATGGCCACTAACAATAAAGTTCCAACAACACAGAGGTGAGTGACAAGGAAGCTGGTACATATGTCTCCAAGAAGCCAGATTCTGCTTATCCCCGACCACACCCAGAACCTACACAATAGGAGTATCATTCGGGGACGAAGGAGACACCTAAGAAGCCCAAACCAAGGACAGACAAAAGGAAAAGTGCTTTAAATTGGGGTTAGTTAATTTTCAGCTCGAAGATAGCAGAAGGAGCTATAACGCAGGGCAGCTTCCTCTAGGATGGGATGCAGTCATGAGTAATCACCACTAATGATTCCCATTTGTGCTCATACGCAACTGTCTTCTAAAATACTGTGCCACCTTGAAAACCAAGGCAATGGTTTCCCTTGGCCCTAAATTTAAGAAGTGAGACTATTAGCTGGTGCTTCCCTTTCCTCCACTCTGCAAGGGCAGAAGACACAAGCCAAGGGCTCCAAAGTGAGGCTGCATGGGAAACCAGATTGGCAAAAACAGAAGCACATAATACCTTTATGCTACTGAGGCTACAGTGGTGGCACCTTTTCCATGCGGATCCTCAAGGGAAGGGGGAATATAGAAATTCAGGTGGTGAAGCACAGTTAATACCCCTTACATGGTACTAGCTTTGAATCATTTGTGCCAAGCCTCAGAGGACAGCAGGGAAATTGATATTTATTTATTTATTTATTGCCTCTTTCTTATTCTAATGTTTGTCAGCAAAAGCCAAACAATAGTCATCTGCATGCAATGAGCACACACTCCCCCCTGTTTCAGGCTCAGGCTGCCCTCCCTGCAGTATCCCGGACTGAAAGAGGGGGACAGAGGCAAGAGTGTATATCTGGGCATTGGCCAGCACAGTTGGTCCACAGTAGGCCTGATGCCCCTTGCCACTATCACTCATGTTACATCAAGTATTATGATCATGCCAGACTGTAGCATCCGGTAAAATATGGGCCCCTACATTGATTTTGCCAAACAGATGGAGGCCGTAGAGAGAGGAGACAAAGATAACTTAGGACTACCTGCCATTTAAACAGAATAGGCTATAAACACTATAGGCTGTAAGGCTGGGACTATTACATGGCAGAAGACCCATTGCCAGGCTGAAGCACTCAGGGTTTAGGGAACCCCGGCTCCCTGTATAGTCTCCTAATAGACAGAGACCCCTTTATATTTACATTTTAATTATATATATTATAGTTTTAGGGCTTAATCTTCACACATAAGAATGGTCCTGACTCCCTCTCTCACAAGCACAGGAACATGTCACAGACATCCAACATTATACAGTAAAGGAAGGCATAAAGCATTTTTTGCCACGGGCTATCTTAGCTAGTTTGTAAGGCAGCCCCTTCTTAGGTAGAGAAATCACAACAATGTCCCTTTCCTCTGGTTGTGTTCCTGTGCCAGATCATGGCTTGGCAAGGAGAATATACACTGCATTTCAGTCCCTACCTCCCTTTAAACTAAGAGCCCTTTGGCAGGCTTCTGTTCTGTCCCTTTAGCTCCATAGCATTCCCATAAGAACAGACAGCACTAGCTTGGTCTAGAGAAGCCGGACCTTGGAGGAAGGGGTTGGCAAACATGTCTTGGAGAAAGGGGCTGGAATGTAGGCTTCTCTGGGACTTTCTGGGGCTTATTGCCTACTAACGTAGCTGCCATCTGCAAAAAGTATGGGGAGAGCAGCCTGAAAGACAGCAATCAAACATGATGTTTGGAGGAAGCTCTGACACTACATCACATTTTCCTGGGGCTTTTCACAATAGCCCTGAGTGCTGGAGTCTGGGCTGTGCCCTAACAGAGCCCCATTTGCTTCTCAGCTGCCATTCACACACTTATCCCCCTAGAACACTTTTCCCTATGAAGCACTGGATTTGAAATAACACATTTTCCTCTCTTCAGCTCAGCTTCTAGGCAATCAGCCTGCAGAGAAAGCAGCAGGCTGGATTGCTAGCATCACATGTACACATATTTCCCTAACAGCAGTGTGATGTAATACAGTTTGCTGGAAGCTGATGAGAGAATAGTAAATTATATTTCTCCATCGCATCTAACAGCTTACTGTTTTCACAACCATGAGAATATTTGAGCCTTGCAAATGGACGCAGGCCTAAGGAGGAAAAATATTAGGGAGCTGAACACTAACATACAATTACACACTCAGCAACACTTGCACATTAATCAAATCACTGTCACGCAGTACTCACTCACATAAACACGCTCATGAGTTCACCTCACATAGACATACAAAAACATGAAGATACTCACTAAAATTCACACATTAACACACATGCACAAACACGACCTAAACTCATACATTAACACACATAAAAATGGCCATACATACACATATATATTAGTAAAATACTTGATCATGTACAAGCATGAGAAATAATCACAAAAATGTATTTATACACATAAATGCACACATTAGTTTGCACAATCAAACATATACATGAACTTACTCTTACTTATCAACATGCTCACATGTTCATTGTCATGAAAACATATTCACACATGCAAGCAAATACATCTCTACACACAGACAAGTTCACAAGCACACCTATATATGAACACACTTGATCACATGTTCACTCAACACAAATATGCTCACACTTAGTCATTTATATCCACATTGAAACACACAAATACATTCATACTTAAGAGCAAATACATTAACATGTTCATACATATACACATAAATATTCTGACACATTGACAAATCATCAGCACTCACATGTTTTCACATGTATATATAAACGTTAGTGTGCACATATGTATATTTTAAAAATCCACTCACTTTAATACACAGTAGCACATTAATACACAAACATGGTCATATATGCAAATATACCTATAAATTATGTCATGTTAAACATTATCACACTCATTATCACAACCACACAATTCATTCACATTTACGTTTGCTTACATGAACATCCACTCAGTAATTCACTCCCACATGTGGACAAACATTGACATGTTCATACACAGATGCACATGATACAGATTGGTGCACTCTTATATGCCCACAGACTCAATCACACTAGCAAATTTACTTATACACATGGACACCTTACACATTCATGCTTACAGCATCACATATGACCACAATCACATCAAATAAAACGCATATTCTCTCACACAAATATGCTCACATACACTCAGATTCACTGACAAGCTGAAAGGGGGTGCTCATCCATGTTAAGATACACACATACTTTTGCATTTACTAACATGTGAGAATACTAACATGTTTTCATACACACAAACATGAAGACAACCCACAATACACAAGTTCACACAGTGAATGACACATTCTCATCACACATTGACCTGCTCACATATCACTAACATATGCTAGACTCACAGAGATACTAACATATTTTCAATCCACTCCACATACTCAAATAGATGCACACAAACACACACACACACACTCACAGACATACAGACATGTGCGTACATTCATCTACTCAGAAACATCTGATCACATCTGTTGAGTGTACTCTAGTACTATCACATCCACTCCCATTTCCACAGAAACACACTCACACTCACTCACATGCTCATGTTGTCACTGCCGTATAAACACATTCACGCACAAATACAAATTCATTCACACTAACAGTCAAGCTCACAGACACCTACAGATGAGCATACAATATCACACATTCATTCACATGCAGCTGTACTCACACCATACACTCACATGCATGTTGGTGTATGCTTGAAGGCTACTTCCACATAACCTACTGAAACAAACATGTTCCTTCACACGACACTCATAGTCACGTGTTTGCTGCCTCGGGATAAATACCCCCATATTTCATTCGCAGTTGAACTCCCTCCTGTGTTGTCTCCCACATAACACACTGGATCACACAAACATGCCACACACTCACTCATACATGGACGTGCTCACACACGTGTGGACACATTCACATGAATATGAACACATTTCCCAATTCACTAGCAAGCATGCTCACCTTCACTCACCCAGAAACATGAAACTTAGTTCCTTTTCCTGGGCTTGTTGAGTTTCAGTTCTTTATCAGAAAGCAGTTAGAACCGAGTGCTTGGTACATATTTTCCTTTTGTGTTGCTTTTTATACCTTCCTCTCAGCATAGCACGAGCCAGGCCTTGCCCTAAGCACTTGACCTTCATTAGCTACGATAGATAGCATTATCCCCATTTGACCCACGAGGAAGCTCAGGTTCAGAGTGGTTAGGTGACTTACCCAGCCAGCAAACATCAAAGCTAGTTTTAGCCTAGACAACTGGGTCTTAACCTTTATCCAAATGTTCACGTGGTTGTGTCTTCCTGTATTGTAGGTGCCCCTGTGCCCGTGTCCGTATCTATCTATGTCTCCAGTATTGAACAGATCTCAGAAATAAATATGGTAAGTCTATAGGTTCTAATCATGGTGCTGGAGACAAGGGACAAGAAGTATAGTCGTAAGCCAACTCTAATTGTTCTGATCTTGACAGAACTCACATGGTAGCTCTCTGAAATAGAAAAAAGTCAATTGAAGGCCCATATCACAGCATATCTAAAAATTCAGTTACATGTAGATTATTAACTCAAAAAATCTTTTTTTTTTTTTTTTGGTTTTTCAAGACAGGGTTTCTCTGTGGTTTTGGAGCCTGTCCTGGAACTAGCTCTTGTAGACCAGGCTGGTCTCGAACTCACAGAGATCCACCTGTCTCCGCCTCCCGAGTGCTGGGATTAAAGGTGTGTGCCACCACCGCCGGGGGGGGGGGGGAATCTATGGCGCTTTTAAAAGTTTTAATAGCACACTATAGTTGTACTGCAGGGTAGGTAAAGATTTATTTCATAAGACACACAAGTTACAAACCATCAAAACAAATACTGGTATTTGATGTTCTATCGAGGCTATTCTGTATAGCCAAAATTTCTGAAACCTCAGTTTTACAAAACAAATCTACTGTGATGAGTGAAAAGATAATTCAGAGTAGGAAGACATATGTGCAACACAGAGAGCAGGGATTCAAAATATACAAATGCCTGGAGACTGATAAGAATATTTTAAAGCAATCAAAAATAATCAGCAAATATGAATGAGAGCTGTACTTTTGTGAAGAAAACTAAATGGTGGATGGACATATGAGAAAATACTCGACCTTGTTAGTAATAGCAGAATGAACGCACAGTGAGAGCCCACTATATACATATCAGATTGCCTAAAACCAGAGTCAGATGCTGCCCATGTTGGTCAGCTGACCTGCACCGCTAACCCTCGCTTATTCTCAACTTTTGCAGGGATGCAAATGGCCACTTTCACTTTGTCATTGTTATTTCTTCCTGGTTTGAGCATGTATGTTGTTTTTTTACACAAATAAATACATTGTGTGTTTATATGTGGAAATATTCTCCAGGAATACAAGAAATCAAATTATAGTTATACACAGCAACTTGAATGAACTTCACAAATACAATATTGAGGGGGTTGGGGGACAGGTTCCAGACATAAGAGTTTGGTTCTGGTCAGATAACATTCTAAAAAGAAGTCCAAATAAGCACTGTTTCTACAACTACACATAGAGACAATGAAACACTAATCTGAAGCATGGTAAGTAGTGTCATAAAATCTTGAATAATGAATGTTTCCTGCTGGTTGTGGGAAATGTTCTCTGAAAGGGACACATTGGAACTTGAAAGTTATTGGTAATGTTCTGTTTATTAACCTAGGAATTAGTTAAAGAAGCTTCATTTTGCTGTTCTTTATTAAATGTTTATGTTTTATGCACCCGTCTGTATGATGTGTTCCATATAATAGTACATATGTATGTGTGCACATATAATCTGTGTATACAGTAGACAGAGAACTAGACAACCTGGCAACTGTCATTTACTTATCTCTACCCAGGACTACACAATCACTATGTTTTTGCATCAGACCTGGAAGGACAAGCGCTTAGCATACTATGAGACCAACCAGAACCTGACTCTGGACTATCGTATGCACGAGAAGCTGTGGGTCCCTGACTGCTACTTTGTGAATAGCAAAAATACCTTTGTACATGATGTAACTGTGGAGAATCGTGTGTTTCAGCTCCACCCAGATGGGACAGTGCGATATGGCATCCGGTGAGTTCACATAACAGTCTTGGACTGTCCCAGCAAGCTTCCTTCTTCCTACTGTGTATCCCACAGGTACATTAGAAGAGATCCCTGCTTTCCAGAGCTGCCTTGTGTGCACATATACTTTCAAAGTTTGCCACGGGCATCCTAGGCTGCCCTGTCCCTGCACCTTGGCTTCTGCTCCTCCTGTTTTTCCACGAGTCGAAACTTTGCACACTTTCACATGCTTTCCAATTCCTGATGCAAATGTCTCCCTTTTGCTAAATTGGTAAAAAGCATGAAGTCCCATTTTAGATGATATAACCAACTTCTGCCCTTTCAAATGTGCCCTATAAAGGGAGGTTGTATTAAGGAATCCAAGCACACTGGGAACAAAGCTACTTTATTTTGTGGACAATAAAGAAAGAAATTTACAACATTGCCTGCCATTTATGAAAGAAAATAGTGTTTTTATTAATTTTATGTAATTATCATATAGATTTTTTAAAAAAAAGAAATCCTGATACCCTGGACCAAAAGACCTCTTCCTCCATCGTTGATTGTGTGTGCTGTTTTCTTTATTCCCCATGCGGTGAGGAAGGGAGACTGATGAACACTGAAGCCTGTGCAGTGAAGAAAGTGCTCCACCTCTCTGCCTGCCTCTTGTTTGCATCAGGCAGGGTGTCAGGAGAAGGGAGGAGCTAAAGCAGTGAGCGGGATAGGGCGGGGCTTCTGAGCCCTTGCTCTCTTTACACACAGAACATATGCACACTGCTAGCCTTCACTGTTCTGTTTGCAATAGCGCAGTCACCAAAGCTGACTTCAGTTTCAGCTCAAACAGATTGTCAGTAAAGGCAAGCTGAGAGGTCATCTTAGCCCAGAAAATGGTTCCTGGTAGTGGATACCATAGTTTGTTTGACAGGTTGTTATAGGTCTAACCATTCGGTTTCTCTTACTCTAGAGTGCTCCCTCCCCATTTATTCCTTCCTTCTTCCTCATCCACATTTCTATGGAGCCATTAAATACTAATGCAATTGATTGATCAGAAATCACTCTTGTTTAAAGTAAAGAAGGCATTGGCTGATAAATAATACTTGGGAAATTCATTTTTTTAAAACGAGGGAAGTACACACATATATACATACTACTCACTCAATACCCAGTCCCAAATTGAAATTCCTACAAGAATTGACAGGGACTAAACTAAGTTAGCAGATGGGAAGGGAAGAAAAGTAGATGGGACAGATATGATATGGGACAGCAGAAAGCTTTTTTAATTATGTCATTTTCAAACACAAGCACCTCCCTGGCTCCTCCCAGGGCATATTCTCAGATTCTTCTCCTGGGTGCATAGCATAGCAACTTGATGCTTATTCTGGCTGTATCTACTGTCAGCACTGGCTGGGCACTTCATTGATAGGCATTTTGTGCCCTCTGGCATCTTTCTAGCTCTTGGTGTGACAAAGGCCCTCACCACTGACATGGATGTGGATACGGTCAAAGGCAGGCCTGGGTGCACACCACATACCTGCCTCTGTAGCTATGTAGCCTCATGACATTGCACATAGTGTGCAGTGTCCTCTCAACAGCCTTGCTGATACTTTGACAAGCACAAGTCTTTCTGTCTTTGTATTGTTTTCTCAAGGGCCCTTCTTGCTCTGATGTTCTATGGTTTTTCTGACCTGACATATATCTGCTCTTTATTTCGGCTCTGCCAAATCTTGTGATTCTTTGTCAAATTCCAGTTTTATCTCTTTCTCTCCCTTCCCCCAATTTCATGCACATGGGTCAATCCTCCACCTTCCTCTTGCCTTCCCACCCTGTAGAACCCTTAGCAGTGAACTTGAATTGTTTTTCTCTTCCTTTTTGTTTCCTTTGGCAGACTCACCACAACAGCAGCCTGTTCCCTGGATCTGCGAAAATTCCCTTTGGACAAGCAAGCCTGCAAACTGGAGGTGGAGAGCTGTACGTACTTCTCCTGGGGCCCCTTGGTCACTGTGCGGGGCTGCTGGAGTCAGGAAAGCACAGGGAGAGTTGCCACTGAGAGGACCAGCACAGCCCCTCTGCTCTCCACTCCCATAGCTCTCCCCAAGCGTGTCCACAAGCAGTAGATAAATGGCAGATGAACGATGGCTACGTAAGAAACTGACAGTTGTATATATCTGGCATCTGAGAGTATGTGGTCTTTATGGTCTAGCCAATTCAACTGAAAAACTATACATACTTGTGGGTAAAAATTCGTAGCATCTTTTTGGCTACACATTCCTTCCTGCCTAAAATCTCTCTTTGCAAGTGTTCAGAATCCCCCATGCTCACCCTCAGAAAACCACAAAAGAGCCCTCCAAAATCCAAATGCCAACTATGCTTTGGTTTTCCCAGACTGCTGTCGAGTTAAATCTGCCGAGATTAACTCGTTTCCCCTCCCAGATGGCTATACTATGGAAGACATTGTATTATCCTGGGAAGATGAGAATGCCATCCACATTACTGATGAGCTGCACATCCCTCAGTTCACCTACCTGGGGAGGACAATTACTAGCAAGGAGGTGTATTTCTACACAGGTGGGCCAGAACCCCTCTTTCTCTCCTGTTTTTTGTCCCCTTTACACCACGACAAACTCTTCTGGGCATCTGCCTTTGATCCTTGCAGTTGGCTCCTTCCGTTACCATTCCTGTGGATCTGAACACATCTTTCTTCTCCACTGATAAAGCCTTAGTGGCTAATGGCTTACCCCTACAGATGGAGAATAGATGTGGAAGGTTTGGGCGGGTTCACAACACTCTACAGCTGGAAACGATTCCTGCTCTTCACAGGGCTGGCCTCTCACCCTCCATCTGTCTGCTGCCTGAAAACATCCCATGTGGAATGAGTAAGGCAGGAGGGGGTTAGAGCTGGTTTGCTGTACCACATGGAGCTTACAGCACTGTGTTCTTACAGGCTCCTACATGCGCCTGATAGTGAAGTTCGAAGTTCAGAGGGAAGTCCGCAGCTACCTTGTGCAGGTCTATTGGCCCACGGTCCTCACCACCATTCTCTCCTGGATATCATTTTGGATGAACTATGATTCCTCTGCAGCCAGGGTGACAATTGGTAAGTCCTTTGTATCACCATCTTGGGAAGAAACTTGAGCCGTTTTGCTTAGAAAAAAAAGTAAAGGCAGAACTGGGAAGACCTCGAATTTCAGGTCTAAGTTTAGGGAGGCAAGAAATGTTTTAAGCAAGGAACAGCCTAGAATACTGGGCTTTTTGGTTTGTTTTTGCCTTCTGTAGGGCAAATTGCTCTATCTTTTCCTTTAGGAGTACAAATATGTGCGATACTTTTGGGTTTAGAAACCTCTTCAGATACTAAAAGAAGGCCTATATGGAACTAGAGATGTAAAGTACTTTAACCATGGCTAGGAATTTGAACTTGATGCAGAGAAATCAGCCTGAGGTGTAGACTTGCTAAAAACCGCAGCTATGAAGGGAGACCAAACCTGTACTGTCTTCTTCATAGGCTTATCTTCTATTCTTGTCCTGACTACCATCGACTCACATATGCGGGATAAACTCCCCCATATTTCCTGTATCAAAGCCATTGACATCTACATCCTTGTGTGCCTGTTCTTCGTGTTCCTGTCCCTGCTGGAGTATGTCTACATCAACTACCTTTTCTTCAGCCGAGGACCTCGACGCAATCGCAGGAGATACAAGAAACCCAGGAAGGTTGTTGCCCGATACCGCTACCAAGAAGTGGTGGTGGAAAACGTGCAGGTTTGACATTTTGACTGACAGCCAGCTTTCCCTCGTCACCTCCTCAGCCTAGGCTCAGCACTTGACCCTTGCAAGTTTCACAGTTGCTTTAATCTTCATACGTTACTTGTATATGAAAGGCATGCCCACACTCATCTATAGCTGATCATTATTTGATATAATAAGGCAAAAAAAAAGTCAGAACTTGTTTTCTCTAAATCTTTGAGCTAAATTTGCTCCATTTTATAGGCTTTTAGCACAAGTGATAAAGCAAAAAGGGAAGGTGAGGCCGAGGAAGACAGATACCAGAGAAGCTAATCTTCAAACATTTCCTTCTTAGCACTTCAGATACCTGAGAACAAACTGGGCCTTTTGCTTTGGGATATATATGGACGCCCAGCAACACGGCTCCTTTGGAGAGAGCCCAGCCTCACCCTACCTAAAAAGCCCACATATAGCACACGGGACTCCTGAGGCCAGAACTGTACCCCAGAAAGGCAGTTGCTGTGATGCAGCTATGGCATTCTCTACATGCTAAAACAACTTCCTGGTCCAGTTTCTCAACCCCTTTGAGCATGCCAGAGAGCCCAACAGGTTATCAAAGACATCAAACAGTAGCCTTGCAAGCACTAAACAGGAAAGTCCCCTCCTTTTTCTCTTCCCCCATTCTTGCCCACTAGGTGATATGAAACTGATCAGCTTGTCTATTATTTCCTCCAAGGATGGCCTGATTAATGTGGAAGACAGAGTGGAGGACAGAGCTGCTCCCCTTCCTGACAGCCCCATGCAGGCTCATCTGGCAAGTCAGGAAAGTCTTGGATCCTTGGTGTTTACCTCAGAGCAGGCCCAACTGGCTACCTCGGAAAGCCTCAGCCCACTGTCTTGTACCTCAATCCAGGCGCAACTGGCCACTGGAGAAAGCCTGAGTGATCTGCCCTCCACCTCTCAGCAAACACTGAATGACTGTACCATCCACTTGCATGGCTTCCTCACTAATGACAGCATTGTCCCCATCGAAATCTGCAACCATTCTGAGGCCTGTGATGATGAAGACTCTGAAGAGAGCCTAAGCTCTGATGAAAGCCATGGCCATGACAGCAGCCCCAGTGGAAGGTTCATGTTCCCCAGTGGCCAGAGGTGTGTGCAAGAAGCAAGTTGGGACCTTGATAAGATTGAGAGCTTACAGGATGACATCAGTATCAAGAGCAGCTGGCTTGGCCTTGATGAACCACGCAAGGTGGAAGCTGACAGTACCTGGAGCCTTACTGATGAGGAGCTCATGGCCTGTGACCAAGAGAAGGATCATAGCTCAGAGTCTGAGGAGAGTTGTCCCCCAAGCCCTGGGTGCTCCTTCAGTGAAGGGTTCTCTTTCCAGATCTTTAAGCCTGACCGGGTCCCGAAGGTTGATAGGTGGTCCCGTTTCCTCTTCCCTCTTTCCTTTGGGTTGTTCAATGTGGTTTACTGGTTGTACCACATCTATTAGTTTCCTATACCCCCACAGCAGCAAAGATACTATCATGTGTTTCCTTCATAGTTCCTTCAGTTTTGTTTTTCCCGCTTCCCATTGTTCATTTTACCTGGCAGTTGTTAGGGCAATCAAACCTGTTGGGCCCTTTTCTTTATTATGAGGTGGAGAGAAAATGGAGAGAACATGTAGCCAGAGGGTAAGGGATTGAGGAAGACTTGAAGATAAATTGCACATTGATTTCCTCCTGCCAGAAGACTACTACCTTTCAAACACTTTGAACAGTCCATCAGCCTAGAAATGCCTTTGAAAATGTTTAGAGGACAGAGAAGAGCCAGGCTGAGGAATGAGGAGAATCTGAGCCTAGTTCACAAACATTCCTGGGAGCTTTCTTTTCAGTCCCCTCAAGGTGTTGACATTGCTTTGGCATCGCTTTTTTTCTTCCTATGGGCATCAGGCACCTTGTCTGCCTGCTAAAAGGGGCTTTGGGAGATGTCAAGCCAAGTTGGCCTGGGGTACGCAGAGGAGGGGCTAGGCATAGCTTGGATATGCTGACAAAAGGAAAGTTGGAAAACATTTGTAAGTGCCTTGTACTTTGAGTGTGGAATTGTGGTACAGGAGTGGGAAGGGCAGGTGGGAGGAACTGCAAAGAGACATAGCAGGGGAAGGGAGAATGCATGCTTCTAGCCAGAGTAGGTAGGACAAGGGGGCGGTGCCAGACTGGAGTTTGTATGTGTTCAGATGCTCCCTTTAAAGTTATTAGACCTTCTCATGCCTATATTTCTACTTTGCATTGCCTGACAGTAGGGACTCGGTACTTCTGTTCAGGTAGGAGTTAGCTTTCTATTGATGCTGAGTTGATTACTAGTTACAGTCAAAGCACTTGGTGAGTAAGCACTAGTTGAGAAAGTTCAGACTTGATATTTCACCACTGGCCTAGGATAGCATATGGACAACTATTATGAATCTATATACTAATCCTTTTTGTTTGTCTAGTGCATAATAAGTGTCAACGAACTCCCTGAGCCATCACATCGTTGGATCCTCACAGGAGCCCTGTAAGCCAGGGAAGACAAAGCACCTTGTCCCCAGTGTTCCAAGGACAAAGTAGAGCTTTTGTGCCATGCTTATGGATGCTTGTTCTTTCTCCTTCTCTGCCTAACTCACAGCTGATGCACTCCCCTACTGCCCCTTCCCTTTGCTCAAAGGGATACCCTACAGAACTGCCTGCCAGGCTGCCAAGCTCACTGAACAGCACCTAGAGTGTCTTTGTAGGAAGAGGCTACTGAGCAGCCACTGAACATGGACTGAACGGCCCCGCCTACTCAACAGGGCTCCTGATGAGAGTAGGATGAACCTGCACACCGATCTGCCAAGAAGTACCAGCTCATTGATGGAGGTCATGAGGGGGCTTTGCCAAGCACTCAATCTGTTCCCCCCTTCCTCTATAGGCAGCCTCTCCTTCCACCCTATACCCCACTGCCCACCCACCTCCTTAACTGTACTTCTGTTTTTATACATTTCTGTGTATCCCTGGAGATGAGTGTGCATGCATCCAAGTAGGTCTAGTGCCATATAGCCATTTGAGAAGATGAATAGCACTACAGTAGTGTAAATATATGTTAGTATGTATGAATGTATATCTGCACTGTGTGGGTGAATAATTTATGTGTATGTATCTCTATGAGAGTGTCAGTTTGTACATATGTACTTACATTAGCACAGGTGAATGCATGATATGTACATTTCTAGAAAGTGTATGTCTGTATACCTGTGTTTAGTTGGTGTAAAAGGACATATATCAAAAATCACATATATTCCTTGTTGGAAGTTCTTGTAGAAACATCAGGACTCTAGTGACCTGTTTTGACCCAGTAGGGAGAGTCTTGTTTAGCTGAACTAACAGTTTCCTTCCAGTTCTAGGGTCTATTGGTTTCCATCAACTCCTCACTCATCCTCCACCCATCTCTGCTGTGTCCTGTGCTGAAGACCCAGAGCAAGTGAACATAGTCCTAAGAGGTAATATTAGTGCCTTGGAGCTAGAGAATAATTGATCCGTGGAATAAACTGAGAGCGCTGTGCATTTAGCTTGGTGCTGCAAGGTGTCAAAAGATGAACTGGGAATAGAAATAAGGTGTAGACAATGGGGTAGGGGTTCAGAAAATTGGAGAAAAGGATTTTCCTTTCTCTTCTGCACACATAGATGCAGCTCCAGACTCATGCGTGCACGCCCAGCCACACACATCATCACACATGCATACATCAGAAGCACCCACGCTTCTAGTTAAATTTGCAGGCATAGCCAGACACACACACCCACAAATAGACATGCACACACTCACACATACTTTAAGACAACTCAAAACAAGGAAGTTACTACCAAAATGATTCCCTTTTTTATTTTGGGAACTCAGCACAAAGAGGACCAGATTAAAGAGAGAGCAGAGCGCTCTCATCCAGAATCTGAGCATTCATTGGCTGTGTTCTTGAATTTGGAGCCCTATAATCTTGAAGTGTTGGACACATCATTGGAGCAAAGTTACAAAGAGGAATTGGAGTAGCAGGAACAAAGGGACAGCAGAGGAAGAGCAGAGAGGCCACTTGTAAATATTCATATAGCTAGCTATTTTATACCCTAAAAAGACTATTTTGCCCTAATGTGCTGCAATGAAAGCAGTTAAACTCTACTGCAATTAATATTCTGTGAGTTTAAGTGTCCAAGTGTTGTGGAGATTTGGCAATGACAACTTTTTAGGAACTTGAATCTTCTGGTTTTCCCACGTCTGTGGTCTGTCTTACTTGAAAGTTGCCAGATCTCCCCTTGTGTTCTGTGTGTGGTGTGTCGTCTATTGTCAAGCCTGATTCCAGCTGCCCCCAGTTCCCTTTCAGCCATGCAGGCATATACTTCTCCATCTGGCTGCCTATATATCCTTCCCAGTGTCCCCCAACTCCAAGTGGTTGTGGAAGGACAGAGCATCTGAATAGTGCTCCTGGGGTTCAGCCAGTTCAAGGGCATGGACAGAAAGAGGAGCCTTACTGAATCTGGGATAGAACAACCCACTTTACTACTCTCCTGTCTTGCCCTCCCCCTACCTTTTCCCTAGAATCCCTAATTGAGCAGGACACCAGCTGTCTGTGTTTCCAAAGAGTCATTTTGTCAAAGAAATGTGTGATGTGTTTCCTGTCCAGTTTGATTTGCACTGTAGGGTATCTGCAGAGAGAACAACAATCTGTTGGGTCTTAGTGAAGTTCATGCAATGTATTCTTAGAATTTGTATCATCCTCATTAATAGCAAGGCTGCAAACTCTTGGCATACTCAGAAGCAAGTTTTGCTGAGATTGTGACCATTCCTAATGAGGGTTCCTTACTCTGTATATACAGTAGCTACACCTTCAAGCTATTAACTACTGAATGCATTCACTAAGCACTCCATCTGCATGATACCCTGTGGTAGTAAGCAGAACTTTCTAGCTACTCCACAACCCAGCATCCAAAGTAATTGTAACTTGTCCTATCAAAAGTGCAGTGTGTTCATGTTTGTTGTACAATATGGTGTGATTAATATGAAATCTATATCAATCTTGGGCCTTCAAGAGAGAGAAGAAGGATGTTAAAGTATCTCTCTGATATACTTACATTATAAAATATGCCAACTGGTCAGGGTGATCCATACAGAACTGTGTCAGAATTCGCACCCACAATCATGCCAGACAGTATCCCTGGGATCAGAATTTATCAGCAAAGGTAAAGGCACCAAATTTGCACAGTACTGTAGTAGATGTCTTTAGATAATACCAGAAAATTTTTCCCATGGCAACTAAGTCAGTTACATTCTGGAAGCATATAAATTATGGTAAAGTCACATACATACAGATCTTCAGCAGTGGTATTGGAGCAAGACAATGAAAAGCCAGAAGAGAGAATGACCAATAGGTTGGTGACCTGGGTGGTCTAACCTGCAAGGGTCACAGAATAGCAGAGCTTCACTAGATAACTGGGTGCCCATGGTGAGTTCATTCATTGACATTCTTGTGAGAAAAAGACCTTGACCAGTACTAACTTCAAGAAAGTGAAACATGAAGAAGCATAAAACTATGCTTCTGAAAAATATACAGAAATACAAACATGTAAATAGCAAAAAGCAAAATAAAGATCTATAAAAGCAAATACTCTGGTGGGTCAATGTTTCCTCTGTATTAGATTCACAGTGCTACATGGGACATCCATCATAGTCTGAAGGCATCTCGCTTCCATTATTCTTCATGGCTTTAAAGAAGAAGGGAGTTAGCAACATTGTCATTGAATAATTCACAGTTTTTCACAAAGCATTCATAGTCATTGGAAAACAAAGCTTTAAGACAGAGCAAATCATTATGATACCAAAATATAAAGTGAACATTTACTTCCACCTACGTATGTAGGGGGAGAAAGCAAAACAAGTGTTATTTATAAAATACAAAAGAGTTTTTGTTTTCATCTCCACCAAAGTAGATGTGCAGAGCATGGAGCAAGAAAGTAGGGGGGTCTAGTTGCTGGGCACAGGAGAGCAGGCCCTTCCCCTTGCCAGCCCTGAAAGAGCTGGCCCTGCCCTTCACAAGAGAGTTGGCCGGGGTGGCATGAACTCAGAAGAGCTGGCTCTGCCCTCTGCTGGCCTCCTCATTCGGAGAAGACAAACTTGTCCTTTACCAGCTGTAGTGAGTTAGCACAAATAGTGGCATAGTTGCAGGAGTGCTGGCATCAGTGGGTTCCGGGAAGCTGGCACTGCCTTTCACCTGCAGGAAGAGGGGTACTGGTGGAGGCCCAGACTACCCAACTCAGCTACCACCCAGGCCTACATCCATAGCTTTTTGTTAGCCCACCCCAACACCTACCCCATCAATGACCATCTGGAGTGCACGAAGTGACTGGTCCTGCAGAACCATAGCCACAGAATCTCCATGACTGGGACAACAGTAGGATATCCAAAAAAGCAGTTTTGGTGAGGGTCCAGCATTGATGGTATAGCAGAAGCCAGAGTCCTTAAACCGGACTGACAACACATTACACATGTGCATTTGCAAGTAAAGCTGTTTGGGCAAAAAGGTATATACTGTGTGACACACCGCAGCTCCCAATACCACTACGGCGACTAATATGTGATGGAGAAGTGGGCATGACAGAGGAGCAAAGAGTGGTTTGGTTTGGTTTTTATTTTCTTTTGGGAGGGGAGGCTACATGGGTAGAAGGTAGACATTGAATGACTGGGAAACGAGTGGTATTGGGGTACATGATGTCTAAAGAATCAATAAAAAATGTTAAAAAGAAAGCAGAGGAGCCAATGGTTTAGGGTTAATCTAGGTTGAAAACATTGTAAAGTCACGCTGAAACATCCTAGTGATGGAGAGAGTCATTCTTTATAACCTACACTCATCAGGACATCTCCAAACACCTTTTGATGAAAACATGAGACCTTAAAACATGAACCCTAAGCCAATAAATAAATCAGATTAGAAGGGCTGTTTAGAGATTGCTGTGCTGGTCTGCCCACAGCTCTGAGGTGGAACTAGCTGGATGTAAAAGTTTCTTCTTCAGGAATCTTTTTTTTTCATATGGTCTCTGTGTGTGTATGTGTGCGCGCGCTTGTGCATGTGAATCTGCGTGTGTGTGTGTGTGCATAAGTGTCTAGAGGTCAGAGGTTGACACTACGTGTCTTCCTTAATTGTTCCTCCACCTTGCTTTTTGTGACATTTTTTTCACTAAAGATGGTGCTCATTCATTCAGCTTGTCTGTCCAGTGGGCTTCAGGAATCTACCTGTTTCTGCTACCCCAGTACTTGTATGTTTTAGTCAGTGTTTGATTGCTGTGAAGAAAAAGACACCATGACCAACTCTTATAAAAGAAAGCATTTAATTGGGCTTCATTACAGTTTCAGAAGTTCAGTTCATTATCATCACGGCAGGGAGCATGGTGGCATGCAGCAGGGTGCTAGAGAAGTAGCTGAGATTTCTGCATCTGGATCTGCAGGCAGCAGGAAGAGAGAAAGCCATGGGGCCTGGCACCCAAGAAATACACTTCCTCCAACGAAGCCACATCTTTTAATCCCTGTCAACTAGTGCCGCTTCCTAATGACTAAACATGCAAACATATGAGTCTATGGGGGCCATTTTTTAAATAAAAAGACTTCAATTCGTTTTTAATTTTTTAAAACAAACTTTTTATTTTACATACCAATCCCAGCTCCCACTCCCTCCCCTCCTTCTGCTCCCCCCACCTCACCCCCATCCACTCCTCAGAGAGGGTGAGGATGGGGGCCATTCTTAATCAAACTCCCAAATTGGATTACAGGCATGTGATGCTATGCTTAGCTTCTATGTGCTTCACTGTGGATCCAAACCCAGGTCCTCATGTTTGCACAGCAAGCGTTCCACTGGCTGAACCATCTCCTCAGCCCCAGAGTTCTAACTCTGCAGTCACCATTTGCAACATGCTTTGTAATTATAGTTCTCTCTGATCCCCTTAACTGAAACCAGTTACTTGCCCACTGAGACTCAACCCAAAGCTTCCTTAGCTGTACAGCAGCCATTACAGAGCCCATGTTCCTTGCCTTTCACCACACATTGGGGCTGGTAAAGCCCTTGCTGGGCAAGTCTTTGTCGTATGGACAGCTGGAGTTGAGTCTCACAGATTCTGTCATGACTATTAAACAGGCAGAAATCCCCCTTTTGATTCCCAGCAGCTTTCCTGTTGCTATGCCCTTTTCATGTCAGATGGGTCATAAGTAACTTAGGGTCAGTTTGTCTGATAT